TGACTTCCCGCAAAATGACATTCATTACATTTTCCAACGTTTTTCATGAGAATGTGCATCTACTCTATATTTTCGTAAGCGGGAGAGGTCATGGGTTTAATCGGAAGGAGATGACCTCCCTCCGGCTCTACGAGTTAACGTTGGGAAGTTTGTTCGTTGAATAATGACGCCGACAGTCAACGCATAGTACCTTTGGTGCTGCCCGGATACAGCCAAGCCGCAATGCATGGGGGGTTGGCGGGAGACTTGATGTGTAGTTGAGATTGAAAGGAAAGCACAATGGAATTGATCACAGCGTTGGACACGATGATGATGATGATGAGGATGGCGTTGACGGGAAGAGATTGAAATGGGGAGAAGGAAGTAAATGGCTCAGGAGACGTGTTTGTTGATCTTTTCAAGTTCCTCGCGAGGCAGGTTGGGCTTGTTGTACTTTAGCCAAGGCAGCTTCTCGTGGAAAACCTGAATAAATGAGAATAAAGAAGTTACTACTTAAGTTGGCAGCGGAAGCCAAAATAATTCGTCGTTTGTCGTGATGGGATTGGTCAAGACTTTGATCTGAATCAGCTGACCTCTCTCAGACACTGCAGAAGAGACGTGGTGTACACCACCTGAGACCCGTTCTACGAATAGGACGTTGTGAAAACAAGAATATTTGGTATATGTGCAATGGTAGAGTGTTGCACTCAATGGCCAAAGATCTCGGTCCAACTCCTGAGAGTTCCACACCTGAGATTTGGTGAGACTGGCTGTTGATGGCAAATAAGCCGGAAATGGCCTTTCCGGGTCTCCCTTGTCTTTGTTGGGTCCACTCCATCATATGTGGCCCAGTGGTTAGAGCGTTTGACTTCTAACTAACAAGGTCGCGGGTTCTAAACTCGAGCGGGCACCAGTTTCTGGGGCAGCATTTGAGTTGGGTATAACGAGCTGACGATGGCTAATAAGCCAGAAATAACCATACTAGTCTCCATTGTCTTTGTCGGTAATGTCCTTCTGCCTATGTTATTTTTTTTATATTTTTAAATAACCAGTAGGACAGGACTAGTTAGCAGTTTTTTTGAACACTTGATTGAACGTCGTATAAATTTCCACCCAAATGAAAGGATTTTAGTTTGAGCCAAATAGGCCTTGGGAAGGAAGCCTGTTGTTTCGCAATGCTTTCTAAATGAACCTCGTAAGAAGTAATTCATGGAGCAGACACAGGACCATACGAATAATGGTGCTCTAATATCAAAAAACCCATTTTATAGAAGAACAGCAACCCTTTTGGTTGCAAGATTAAAACGGGCGTCGACAATGCCCTATCAGGGCAGTAGAAAACGGCCGACTAATTGCCCACTTTAACGAACAGTATGCATACTAGTCATTCACAGTCCTAAGTGAAATCCATAACTGATACCGTTAAATTTTAGCTGAAGTTCTGAAATGCTCCCTCGATTAGGAAGGATTATAAAATTTATTAAATATGCTGAACTCGGCTTTGTAATACATGCACTGCCGACTGCACACACAGACCACATTCTGGTTAAATACGATTTGAAAAAAGGCAGTAAGCGGTATTTTTTCAGTTGACAAGACCGCGTTTCAAATTTTACACTCCGAACCCCGATGCTCACGCCAGAGCTTGTAGTGATTGTTTAACCTGTCCTTTTAATGCAAACCCCGCCAAAATATATTTGTTCGCATGTATCGTCGTTAAACGGATCTGCCCTTACGTATTTACATCTCTTTCGGTGCCGGGTTTGCGGACAACGCATTGTGCTGCAAGCAGATTTGTGGAACGGAACCAGTGACATTTACCAACGCTATATGAAACCGTATTTAAATAAAAGAAGACGGAGAGCAAACTGACGACTGCTCAGTAAAACTATTCTTATTATTACCTCTATATCGCCATCGCGGGGAGTATACGCGACGTTCTCTAGGGAGTTCACCTTCGCTTTGCTGACGTCTTTAAATTTTAACTTTTCATCTATGATGACGAAGTTGCCACCGCCTGTTAAGGGAGGAAAAAAGACAAAAATAAGAGGGGTTAGGGTATAGACAGAAATTATTAGAGAATTTAACGGACAACTGCCCTATGTGTCACATTATTAGTGGACGAAAGGGGAGAGGGTAATGAATCATCAATTGATTTAACTTCGATCCAATAGGTGTTCAGTCTACGACGGACTTGACCCCACCACCCAAACACCCATGGCAACATCCTATGCCCCTGTTATGCCCTTGACAAAATTTAATCAGAACCCCCAAACCACCACCCCACTGCTGGGCGGTTAAGACTCACCTGGTAGAGCAGTAGGTGCTCCCATGCGAAGCGCAAAGCACGTGGTCATTATGACAGTCATCGGAAAAAAGGCAAGGTAAACAGAAGAAGTGAGAAAGGGGTCTGCTTTTTTTCGTGAGGTCTAGTTCGAGGCAGTGTTGCACGCCCGACTCCAAACCCCCGCTTCCGCGTCCACTCCAGGGTGCCTCCGACC